ATCGGGAAATTTCGCTTTTTGTTCGTCAAATCCTTTTGTTGAACCATTTAATATAGCGGAAACCTATTATTGTCTTTTTTTACAGAATGACGATATTTCGGCTCGGCATCGTCTGTTATTATCAATGTACGATGAGACAACTTTGCTGCCACCGAAAACTGCTGCGAATAGTAGCGAACGAAAATTGCCATGGAATGAATTGCCACCAAAAGAATCATCATTGTCGAAAGAACTCTACGTCTATTTCTATGAATTTGTGGTGGCACTTCGACGCGGCCGTGTTGAACAGGCACGAAAAAGTTACGACTTCCTGGAGAAGCATTTCAATATGATGTGCAGTAAGTTGGCAGTGCGGTTGTTGGAGGATGTGATGCATCGGGGAGGTCTGGATAAGAGAGGTTTTGCTGATAAATTCTTATCATCCTAATCAGCAGCATATTTTGTCGGGCTGAGGAAGTTGATCCCAAAAAAAAAATTTGCATTTTGTGTGAAAAGTTTCAAAATTTTAGCGAAAACGCCATCGTGATCTTCCCCGTCCAAGTAACTATTAAAGAGTTCAAACTCAGCTGCCAGTTATGCATGGTTCCTATGTATGAGTCCCTATATTTTTTTTGCGGGTAACTTGCTAAATCGGGAACCAAGAAAAGCTAGAAAGCTGAAATTTTTAGGGGGTGGGAACACCAAAGGGAGCTGCTGCTCACGAAGAAATTACTGTGCTCAATGCCTGCTTATTTTTACGCCAAAAGTGACATGAATAACGCGGCAAAGCATTTTTCGCGCAGGCACAATTCCGCGATAACCAGATAAAATGATGTAGGTGTGTTCATACTGAAGTAAAAGCTTGATTTTGTGGTAATACCCACAGTCGAGTTTCTTAGGACTGCTCATACAGAATTGTGGATTGCAGGCTGTGTTCGATGGGTCAGCATAAGGGTTTGCTGAAGTTAATTAGTAGAAATGAGGGTTTAGCTGAAGTTAATTATTTGCATTAAAAAGAGAACATTCACAACAATGGAAATTTATTTGCTTTTTTTTGACGGTTTAGAAATTATGACGAACAAATTATCCCACGGTGAGGAGGGAGGCGGGGGGA